AAAGCCTGTTTTCGCACTCTGAGCCCTGAGGGGGCCTCCCCCTGTTTTGGGAAATAGGTAGGCACCTTTTCAGAACTCTTCTGCAAAGAACTTTGCACCCTCTGTTGTGAAGTTCTTCATAAAGAACAAACTTCTGTTGTTCTCATGTTGAGAAACATTGTTCTAGAAAAGCTAAGTAGTATTCCGGTCACTGTATGAAGTGGAGGTTTTCAGAGCCTGAAACCACACAAGAAGCACTGTTACCTTGATCTTTGGCATTCTGAAAGCACAGTGGCCTAATACCATGCTTTTTACCTACCAAGTTTTATTTTTATTTTTTTTAATCAAGCTGTTAAGTCACATTGATGTGCTGCACAACAGAGGATGTGGTGAAAAAAGTGCATATCTAAAAAAAAAAAAAAAAAAAATCCAGGATTTGAATAAGCAACAAATGAAGGAGAAGGAAATCAGAATAAGTTGAGATAAACTCAGGCAAGGAAAGCTGCATGTTAAAGCAAATATATTTTTGGACATAAACAAGATAAATGAATATTTAAGAATTCCAAGAAGTAGATTTCAGTATGTTCAAAAAAGTACTAAAAAAAACAGTGGGATAACTAAGTAGATGTTTACTTGTAATTACACAAGGTGCCCAGTGCAAATTCTAAATTGAAATAATACAAGCTATGTCCTCCAGGTTGAGATAGCAGTGATCTTGTCACAGCATAATACATAGATAAAGATAACACTTCCAGCAATATCTAAAACGTGGAACCTCTTAAGACATTCTTGTTTCTGTTATCCTTTCTTCATACTGAAAAGCTATCTTATGGTGAAATAACTATTTGAGCACTGCCAAGATGCTTTCTGCTGTAGGGTGAGCACACATCTGTAAATTAAAAAAAAAAAAAAAAAGTATTAGTTCCACATAAAATCCATGAATAACTCACAGATATACTGGAAAAAAAAAAAAATGTAAAGTGAGAACTATGCCCTTCTGAGTTAGCAGAACAGTCCCCAAGAGCACTAATTCAGGACAACAGTTCAGGAACTGCAGTGTTGTTGATGTTTGACCAGCAAGCTATAGGAGCAAAGTATGAGAATTCATACTGGAAATTAGCCCTGAAACACTTCATAAACACCTAAGTAAGTGTAGCTTTCTTTTCCTACTTCTGAGAGTTTTGGAAAAGGATGGAATGTACATGGACTTGTGTGCTCTCACATTTCCATTAGTAACACCAGTGTGTCTCTAAACCATGAGTGTCAAACCTTTTGTCATGCTCAGACCACACTGAGTGAAGAGGAGTTGTCTTGGACTGCATGTCACTCTGAAAGCAATACCTCCTGTTTATTTCCACAGAAACTACAGCAGATACAAATAGCATACCAACACTATTCGGTAGAGAAAATTCTCAGCTACAAAACACTTTTTCAACCAAGTTACCAGTATTAGCTCTTTTGCCAGTAGTGAACTAGACCCTGCATGTTGCAGTGGTTGCAACTCTTAATTAACTCTTAGAGTGTTTGTCAATTTTGATGAAGTTTTATTTTTCCTGTGCTAAAACCTCGAAAACAGTTGTTCACAACAGCTGTACATACTGCCAAAAAGTGATTACATGAATACGACATGATAGTGAATCAAGATGTATTTCTCTGGTAAGACAGAGCTGATAAAAGTCTGGTGAGTACGTTCCTGTAAATTGGTTGACCAGAGAAGTCTCTAAGACTCAGTTTGATGTTAGAAAGCAGACATTGTTTTTGGCACTGGATGCGTGAGTGATAAGCACTGCCTATCGTGCATACCTTGAATGTAAGATCTTCAGCTTTTATACATTACTTGTATTACATAGGCAAAGACTTTCCTGGGCAGTTTATGTATATTCAATACAACTTCCCCAAAAAACTCATCAACATAGGGTTCCACCTCCTTGCACATGCTCAGTCTTTTTGTGGTGGCAGTGATCCAGGGGGAAGGGCAGTGATCCTCTGGAGGAAGTCAGTAGTCTTCCTCACTGTTCTCACCAATTGAACACAATCTCCATTCATGCTCAGTTAGCTCCTTGCCTTGATTGCACATTACCTGCTTTCACAAAGCAGAACGCTTATCTGCTTGTACAAAGACACAGGCTCTTTCTGCTATTTAAATAAACTACAGGACTATCCATCAGAAAGCAAATCACAGAATCACAGAATCACTAAGGTTGGAAAAGACCTATAAGATCATCCAGTCCAACCATCCACCTATCACCAATGGTTCTCGCTAAACCGTATCCCTCAACACAACATCCAAACGTTCCTTGAACACCTCCAAGGAAGGAGACTCCACCACCTCCCTGGGCAGCCCATTCCAGTGCCTGACCACCCTTTCAGAGAAGTAGTATTTCCTAATATCCAGCCTGAATCTTCCCTGGTGCAGCTTGAAACCATTCCCTCTAGTCCTAACAAACTTAACAATATGGCTATAACTTCTATCAAAGAGGCATAAGGAAATTTTTAATTGCAACTGTATACATTCATTTGAAAATTCATAAGCAATGTATTTATGTTGACTGAAAATGGAATCACACATAAGTAGAAAAAGGTTGTGTTTTTTTTTTTTTTAACAGTCTTGAAACTTGTTCTCAAATTTCTGTATCAAAATGGAAAGCACGGCTGCGTATTTTTTGCTGTTCACAGGACTGTGTTGTCAGTATATCACAACACATACAATGATTTGCCATAATTTGAGTTAGCACTGCGCACTTCCCTTGCCCTGTTTTCAGCCCAGATAAGGTTAATAAGCCCACCAGTGTTTGATTGATGCTAAGTCACAGTTGCACGCCCAGGATGGGATGGGCACTCTGGCAGGGCATGTGGCCCAGCACAACTCACAGTGCAACCTGCCCTCTGCCCCATGCCATCATGGCAGCAGGCAGCACAGTGAGCTGTGCCAGGCTGCATGCATCCTGAGGGCCACAGGTTGGATAGGCCTGACTTTGATTATACAGTGTCATTGCTCTTGAAGTAGTCCTAAGGTTTATTTTCCTGTGATGCCATCATGCCCCTTCATATCTTTTTTTCTTTTTTTTTTTTTTTAAATCTGTGTGCATATTTCTGAGAATGAAAAAAGTTAGGAGCATTCCTTTTAGGGTGGTGCATGTGTTGCTTTGTGTGTGTATGTTATAGGCAAGATAGTTTAACTTAGTCTGCTCGCTTCCAGAGCATACCTGAAAAACTGATGTTATTATCATTGATTTAACTCGCTGCGTAGCTACTCTGCTAAAACTAACATTTTAAGAATTAAAGGAAAAAATATCCTTTCTGCAGTAACTTAGAAAGCAGATATAGTCAGTTTTCTTCTTTCTACTACCTCTCTTATACAAGAAGTTTTCTTCTCAATATTAAGCATGAGATCAAACTCACTAATGTTTTATCTATCATCAACTTCTATAGAGCCATTTCAGTATTAATAAGTATTCCATGCTATTATTCACATTTGTCACAATTAATGAGTTAATTGCCTTAAACCCATAGTTGGGGGGAGCAGGAGGGAGAGGGGGAGGGAAGAAAGTACTTATGAGAAATAAGTCAGAAGATTGTAGATTATACTGTTTGAGAGGATGCTAAGTCTTAAACCTTCAGCAAAGTTCATAAGGAAGAGTGGCTAAATTATGTCTTGCCTTTCTGTCAGTCATCAGCATTCCCTACATTGATTCTCACAATTTAGAAATAGTAGTCTAGGTTTTCTGCTGATGAAAACACCCTTGCAGCCCAGAAAGCCAACTGTATGCTGGGCTGAATCAAAAGATGCATGACCAGCAGATCAATGGAGGTGATCCTGCCTCTTTACTCCGTGCTGGTGAGAGCTCACCTGCAGTACTGTGTTCAGATGTGGAGTCCTCAGTGCAGGACACACACAGACCTGTTGGAGCACATCCAGAGAAGGGCCACAAAAATGATACATGGAATGGAATGCCTCTATTACAAGAGCAGGCTGAGAGAGCTGGGTCTATTCAGCCTGGAAAAGAGAAAGCTGCAAGGTGACCAGGTAGTGACCTTTCAGGTATCTAAAAGGGAGCTACAGGAAAGAAGGGACAGACTCTTTAGCAAGTCCGTCGTGATAGAACAAAGGGAAAATGGTTTTAAGCTCAGGGAGGGCTGATTTAGGTTAGATACAAAGAAAAAAAATCTTTTAAATTGAGTGTGGCAAGGCACTGGAACAGGTTACTTAAGTATTGGGGTTGATGTCCCATCCCTGGACACTTTCAAGGCAAGGCTACATAAGGCCCTGGGTAACCTGATCTAGCTATGGTGTTGCTGTTCATTGCAAGGGGAGTTGGACTAGAGGACCTCAGAGGTCCCTTCCAACTCTAACGAAAGTCAATGCAGCACCACAGAGCCTATTCCTACCTTGTAACTTCAGTCCTCAGTAAAGATATTATATGTAGTGTAGCAGTGTGGCATCTTCTAAGACATTTACACGTTCTCCAAAGAATAAACAAAAACACAAACAGCTTGTACTGAAAAACAAATTTCTACAAGGATACTTTCCCCTTGTAGTACAGAACAACCAAAATTCTACCTCAAGGATCTATTTTGCAGGGTCTGGAGCTGGCCTGCAATCCTGGCACAGCAAAGTCAATGTCACACACTCATGAGTTTAGCCCTGCCTGAATGAGGTTGTGCTTGTGACAAGTACGTACATACATACATATATATATATATATAAAACAGGAGGTTTTGTACCTGAGTTCCCATAGGTTAGCCCCTTCCTACCCCTGCCTTCCTACCAGGTGCTCAATTGCTACACTTGTGTAGTACTTTAGAAGAAGCTTAATCTTAAGTTCTCATTGGGCATGTAGTCTATGGTTCATGGGATTTGATAGTGGACATCCCATATCTTTCTCTAAGCCTTGAAGTCCCTGTGCCTCTTCTTCACACTACCTCTGAACTTAAGGGGTGGAAATATCCATATTCTGCTTATTAATTGTTTAATAAATCATCCTTCCTTCTGATAAATGTTATTAATATCTTCATATCAGCCCAGAAGACAGAGGTTGGAGATCTGATTGCCTGTAATTGAACATGGCAGGAGATGTGAAAAGATTCACACGCATGCTACTGGAATGCAACAGCAATGACAAGCTGTGTGGTAAGATTCACTTATTCCTTTAGGAAGTATTTTTCCACATACTGAACAGGAAGGCCAACTTTGCTAAAAAGGAAGCAAGGTTTTTCCCCTTCTTCACCTACATCCCATGCCACAAAAGAAGATTTGACAGCAAAAAGCCCTGCAAAAATCCCAGCCTTTATAGCCATCTTAGAGTATTTCTACTTTGAAATCCACATAAAAATGAGGTTAAGACCTTGTAACATAGTCAGTAAAGATTCTCTTCTGTTTTCCTAAGGACTAATTTTGTGAGATTTTGATTCTGTCACTTTATGTCATCTTTGAAACTGAATTGGTGCCTTGTCCCATGCAAAAAATTCATCGCCTCCAAATTTGGGGACATAAAAGAGTCTGTTACCTGCAAGTCCTTATTAATGGCAGTGTCTTTTGATCAAACTCCAAAGCAGGTGACCGTGCCCTGTTTTCTTTAAATTGCTCCCTATATTTTTAATTGAAAAGCTGAACCTGTGATTTCACTGTTGTGTAGATTTGTGATGGCACAGCAATGGCCAACTCTTCCCAAAGCCCTTCTATCCCTCTGCCAAGGCCAGCTACATTTCAGTGATGGGTGATACAGTCATGATTAAAGTTCCTTGTCTGTGTACTAAGGCATCTAAATAAGTGAATGAGGCATCTAAGTGCAGGGGTCCTGGTGGCTTTATGAGGTTTAAAATTTTCAGCACCTTTGTGAAGCAATATTTGAGAAACAGGGATGCAGCACTAGAAAGTATTCAGTTGCTATTCTAAGAAGCAGCAAGTGGACAGACACACACACACACGGAGTTGAAACAGTTGCACCTTAAACAGTTCATTACTGCTGTGTTTTATAGAATTGGCACATTCTGTGCAATGCTGCACATAGTCCTCAGAGCAGTGCTCCTTTAATTCCCATTTTCTTTATCTTCTTATAGTTGTGCGTGAATATCAGACTGAAGTGATTGTTGTCCCAGCTCTCCTTGTGGGTTTTTTTGTCATTCTGCTAACTGTGATCCTTTGGCTGCATTGCCGAGGCTTGCGAACAAGAACAAAGCAGGAGGAATCATCATCATCTGGACAAGAAGGTAAACATCACCATTTTCAAACTGAGGAAAGAGTATTGATTGCAGTGGCCCTAAGTCAACAGCTTGAGCTGTTAGGTAATAGGATTTCTGGAAATCCTGGGTGGTATTCATCTATCTAAAGAATGTAAGGAAAACTGGAGAACCTTCTTTTGTCCAACTTTTTTAGCAATAATAGAATCTGTAGCACTGAGAGATCTGAGAAAACCTAAACCAGCATACTATGAAGATGCATAAACAAGTGATAACATCACTTGAGAATTGCAGTGTTTATGTGATAGCCTTCATGGATGCTCCTGCAAGCAACAGGGATAATTACAAATGAAAGTTTGTGTATAATAATTTTGGATATATATCACACCTAGTTATCCCATTTATTTATTATCATTTATGAAATTTCATCTTAAGCTGGTGTATCCTACTTCGTATGTGGACAACAGAAAACAGAACAGGGAGTGGTGAGAAGGAGAAAGGGTTGCCATTACTGCAAACACATGCTGCTATGTTGAAATGAAACTCTAGTTCTGAACTGATTTTCTTTCTATACAGGAAAAAAAGCCTATGTCAAGGGAAGTAATTGAAAACCACGATAAGGCATAGATGAGAGCACCCATTGTGTGTCTCTTTCATAACTGACGGTATCAGAAATAGTGTTGCCAGCAGGAGCAGGGAAGTGATCATCCCTCTATACTCAGCACTGCTGAGGCCACACCTGGAGTACTGTGTTCAGTTTTGAGCCCCTCACTACAAGAAAGACACTGAGGCCCTGCTGCATGTGCAGAGAAGGGCAACAAAGCTGGTGAGGGGTCTGGAGCACAAGTCTTATGAGGAACACCTGAGGAAACTGGGAATAGTCTGGAGAAGGGGAGACTCGGGGAGACCTTATTGCTCTCTACAGCTATATCAAAGGAGGTTGTGGTGAGGTGAGGGTCGGCCTCTTCTATATAACTAGTGATAGGACTAGAGGGACTTGTCTCAAGTTGTGCCAGAAGAGATTCAAGTTGGATGCTAGGGAAAACTCCAAATGAATGGTCAGGTGCTGAAATGGGCTTCCTAGGGAGGTGATAGAATCACTGGCCCTGGAGGTGTTCAAGAGACACTTAAATGTTGTACTGAGGGGCATGGTTTAGTGGGAAATATTGATGATAGATGGACAGTTGACTTGATGATCTTGGAGGTCTTTTCCACCCTTGATGATTCGATGATTCTATGATTCTAGCTGATAATAAAAGAAAATGGCTGTTTCTTCATCACAAGAATCAATTACAGATGTATTTTATCCAGAAAGAAAGTTTGCATAGTTAAATCTAGTAGAGATCTCCAAACTCATTCTTCCTTTTTGTCGATTAGAGAGTAAGATAAAGTCCTTCACCTTTTCCAGGTCTGGGATCAGTAAGATGCAACAGCATTTCTTTCCTTCGTCCGGATTTCCAAAAATAGTGTGGAGCAAAAATCAAAGAAAATAGAATAATTGGTATTGCCACTTACTACAAGGGTTCATGTCTGTTTTTGTGCTTCACATGTATTTGGTTTTGTCAGACAACAAGAACAAGAACCAGCAGGAATCCAGTTCACAAGAGAACCACTGTATTCAGCTGAATGAGATATCTACGGAGATCCTGCTAAGTTCTGCATCCTTCACGCTGAAAGATCTGCAGATACCACGAGAAAAACTCTCACTAGGCAGTCTGCAGATAGTAAAACATGACCGCAATGGGAGCATCTACAGAGCAAAATTGGAAACTGGGAACTCGGGGAAGACTAAGAGTGTCATATTGAAAGCCTTACAAGGTAAAGCACATGGAGGAGAACCCAGTTTGGTACAAATCTGTGTGTCAAAGACATGCAGTTGGGCAGAATTTTGTAATCGTTACTGGGCAAGATCGAGCTGTGTTCAGTAACATACAAATATGTTAAACAGTCCACTGAAGTGGCATTGTAGTAGTATAAAAAAAGGCTGCTGTCGTTTCAAGCTGATTGCCCTGTTTTTTGCTGCTTCTATGTGGTGGTGGACTGGGGTTTCTTTGATTCTTTCAGACCTGGTTAGTCCCCAGGAAGTAAAGGATTTCCTGGGAAGGATTAAATTCCATCAAAATCTTGGCTATCATAAGAACCTGGTTGAATTGGTTGGATGCTGTATAGATCGATTCCCACTTTATATGGTAATGGAAGATGTATCTCTTGGTGATCTACTGAAGTTTCTATGGACATGTCGTAAGGTGAGTCAAAAAAAGTGATGATAGTATATCTTCTTAAAATTGCTCATTTACATATCTGTGTGTAAGTCATAGAAGATTCTTTTCATCTCTACTTGCATCCATCTGTATCAGTCTAAGCAATTTCCATCCCCAAAGAAGTTCTATGAAGTTCTGAACTGGAATAGAACCAATGCATTTCTGAATAGGTGAGTTTATAGTTTGGAGAAGCTGACATTTTGTAAGAAGTCTGACTTTGCAGACCGCTGGAATTCTTTGAAGGGTTAAGCAGGCATTGGGAGAAGTGATACACTGATGCATACATTTTTCCCAAAAGTTTTAAATGGAAGTTCCACTCTAAAAGTTTTTAGAGCTCTGCTAGGAAATATACTAGGACCTGCTGCTTTTCAACGTGTGTCACTAGCCTATCAAAAGAGTTGCAAGTGAGGTGATCATGACTGTTGATGAGAATAGCAAGGGCTTGAGCATTTGCAGAAGAATCTTTCAAAATTGAGTAACTAATCAATAAAAAGAAACAGATAAAATTCAGCATAGCTAAAAATAAAATGAAACACATGTACAAAAGCAGTCTTGACTTAACGTACATAATGATGGCCTTGTATCAGCCTATTGCTGATGAGATGTGAAATCGTGGGACTGATTCTATGTACACATATACTCTCATGAAGAAGTTAACTAAAGTAAAAAAAATATATATTCCAGAAATATTTGAAATTAGTAAGAAAGGCGTAGAAACAAAACACTCTCATGTCTCTGTATGAATCTGTCTTTCTTCAGCATCTGAAATTCTAAATAAGAGAGATTGCTTTCTGTCTTATTCAGCAGAAAGACAAGGTGTTAACAAATAAGGCTAGTCATGGTCAAAGCAAACTAGTGGAGATAGTTCTTCACAAAGTGGGGGTTTGACTAATGGAATTCCTGTTCACTGAGTGTTATGAAAACTGAAGCTTTTTACAGGTTCAAGACAAGACTGAACAAATTAATGGAAGATAACTGTGAAGGTTACCGAACATGTTGAGATCCTAACCATTTTGGGAAGTCCATAGACTGAAAATAACTAGGGGCAGAAGATTACTTAGGAAAAGCAACATATGCTTATTTTGCTTTTTTCTCTCTCACTTGGGTATCCAGCCAGGAACACTGTTAGAGGCAAGAGAGTAAGAGATGGGTTGATAATTTCATCCCAGATACTCATTTGTGTGTTACGGATGTGCTTTTCTAATTTGTTACAGTTCTTTCACTCATGTATGAATTGTCATTTTCCACTGTCATTCTGCTCATTTTTGTGTAAGCTATTAAATTATTTTCCATTATTCAGTTTACCCACCAGTCTCAGCTGTCCTTATCTTACCCAACATATCATCTATCGTGAACATCACCCATACATATGCCCTATATTTTTTTTTTATCTTTCAGTCAGTTTATGACTAATCTGTGAAATTAGCCAGGGAAGCATATCATTACATAATACTCATTTTATGAGATTAAAAGGAGACACATTCCCCAGCATCTGTAACTCAATGTCTACTCTTTTGTCTCTAGGATGTAATGACAGTGGATGGTATCCCCTACGACCTCACTGAAAGGCAAGTATACAAAGTTGGACAACAAGTTGCAGCAGCTCTGGTAAGTCTGCTCAGATTTGCTCTTTTTTTTTTTGCTTCTTGTTTGATTGTAACACAAGCCCACACTTAACTTAGGCAGTGAGGATGCCATTTGTTAAAATTGAGCCAAATATATTTGTATTGATTTGGTGGGCCTACACCTCTGTTCTGCACTGTGGAGGATGGGTGCAAACTCATTAAAAATTTCTGCCAACTAGAATTACTTTTAAAATGATCATAATCTCTTCCTTTTCCATCTTTTTAGGCTTACCTTGAACAGAAGAACTTGTTCCATGGTGACATCGCTGCCAGGAATGTCCTACTTCAGCACAACTTCACTGCCAAGCTCTGTGGATTTGGGCTGGCCTATAAAGCTCATACATATGGTGCCAGCTCAGTCACAGAAATGGTGCCAGTAAAGTGGCAGGCACCAGAGCGGCTTCTAAAGAACCCCCCGAGCATCATGGCAGACATGTATGATTTTATTTCTGAACTAGAATTTCATCTGTCTGTCAGACCTGTCTCTTTCACTTCTTTTATGTATAATTATTTCATGTCCTGAAGTTCACAGCAAGACTTAACTGTTCTCACCACAGTGCTTAACTTTACACCTCATACCTTCTCATTTCTGCAGAACGCAACTAATTATTTGTATGTGTTTAAGCTAGCTAGCTTGCTGGAACAGAAAATTAATATTGCTTTGTTTTCTTTTCTCACAGCTGGTCTTTTGGAATTCTACTGTATGAAATGATTACATTAGGTAAGAAGATGTAATAATTTTTTTTTTTAAATATAGAAGTTAGCAACAAATTAACAAAACCAAAAATCTGAAATTTAAGAATGCAAAATTGAGGCTAATTTAAATAATAAATTAAAAAAAAAAAAAACTTGTTTTTTTTCTGACATGCAAACTCGTGACATTTGTTTTTAGGTTTTCTGTCAGTGTGGACAGTGAAAGAAAAAGAGAATATATTTTATTAGGCAGAGATGGCATCCTTATACTGAAGCTGCTGTCTGTGACCTTTATCTTATAGCTTTTCTGCTATTTTTCTTTCACTTTCCAGGTGATCCACCATATCCTGAGGTACGACCTTCTGACATCTTGCCATACCTGCAGAGACGAAACATTATGAAACAGCCCTCAAGCTGCCAGCAAGCCATGTGAGCCACTCACTTTAAATACAATTGAGATAGGGAAATGTAGAATGCAAAACTGTATCTTAAAGAAGATTTCTAAGTCTAGACTGTACAAAACTGTATCTTCTTAGTTGAGAAAACTTGTTCTCATGCCTGCCACTCTTATTGGGTTCTCCTGCATGAAACCTCGACTGCCACTCTTACCTGCTTTGAAAATTGTTCTTGTTCCTGCTTTCTTTTCTGCCTTTAAATTTTGTTGCTCCTCTGCTTCTCTGCAAGGTACAGGATTATTCTAGAGTAATCATTCTCCTGTAAGTGTTGAATTATCTCTGAAATGAACAAAGCAACCACAGGGAAGATATGAGACATTATGTTTCTTCTTGTGAAGACTTTTAATGTTATTATTTTTTTAATATTCAGAGGCTTTTTAATTGGTAGGATACCCAATTGCTGTTTCAAAAGGAAATATCAAATGTAATCATTTCCCCTTTTCCCATACTCAGAGATGACATCCTGGCAAACAGCTGAATGTCTGCCTTTTTCCCCACACATTATTATGTAGTTACAGGTTTTGCTGAAAGAACCTTCTATGAAGCAGAAAAAGAGGAGGTCTCTAGATGTTTTACATATGAGATAAAATTTGTGTTGGTATTTTTCATTTCCAGCTCCTCTCTACTTCTTCATCTTACAGGTACAGCATCATGAAGTCTTGTTGGCAGTGGAATGCAACTGACAGGCCTTCTCCATCAGACCTGATCCAGAGCCTACAAACAGCTATGAAGACCAGCAATGACCAGAGAGTTCTGCAGGTTCCTGAGCTAGTGGAGCCTGAACTCTATGCTGATGTCACTGGTGTTGCAATGGACAGTCTAGTGAGAGACTATACTGTACTTTGAAGGACTCTTTCTCATATTAGTAAAAGAGAGGTCTCTGTATTGCCTATTCAACACACTTGGCAAACTCAGAATGAGGTGTTTATGTATATACTTCAGATCTGTCCTCCACACTTGAAATAATGAACCAGTAGTAGCAGTACTTTTAAATCACCCTGATACCATTTTGATAGTGGTCATTTCAAAGCAAAATGAATTTAGGAAGCTATAGAAAATATAATGAGAAATTTGAGTTTAGGTTTTTTGAAATCTCTATCCACTTTTCTTTCCCATGAAACTGCATCGCTTGAGTATTCAGAAGAGGAGGTGTCCTGAGGAATACGCTCTTGGTCACAATCTTACTGGAAAAAGTGGACAGAGTAGGTAACAGAAATGAATGGTTTCCTGTCCTGTCAACAGTTTACAGGCTGGTTCAGCCCTGTTCTGTGACTAGTGGGCTGAGGGTACCCACAGACCCACGTCCTGGAAAAGGGAAAAAGGTAGGGAGGTGGGCCTAAAAACAAAACAGCAACAATGATCTGAGGAGAAACAAACTAATTTACTAAAAATGATATAAAAATGCAAGATAACATGATATAATACAATATAATACAGTATAATTGGAATCGAAGATAATAAATCAAATAAAATGAGTGTCCAAAAACTAAAGGCCTTACTCTAAGTAAGCTAAGGCGATGCAGCACCTGCAACAGAGACAAGCCAGAAGATCAAAAAGGGAGGTCTCATGATCTGCAAACAGTTTTTATTTTTCCCTCTGAGAGGAAAACAGTAATGGAACAGTGAACAGTCCTTTGGGAGATGTAGTTCTTCTCTTCTGGGACAGGTACCCAGAACTGGAGTGTTAACTCTTTAACTCCCAGTACACTACATGATGTTATGATGTTGTGATGTGGAATACTGATAACAAAAATCATAAAACCGTGACACTGTCCATTATTTTCACATTCGCTAAAGGCCTATGTGATTAACTTGCATTATTGCCTGTTAAGTGCTCAATAAATGTCTGGGATCTCTCCAGAGCTTTGCATGAAAGAATAGGCACTGTATATTTTAAACAAAATAAAATGATTACCTACCTGTGACTACAGAAATTTTTGAATTGAAATGATGCATCTCCACATAGAGTGTGCCTTTTCTGTGGTAGTGATGAGACTGAGTGCATACTTGTTACAAATGGAAACTGCTTCGGTCATAAGGGAGAAGCAACAGTATGTTTATTGAAATCATATAGTGATTTAGCAAAGCTTAATCAAAGACAGTGACTTAGATGGCAGAGTAGAGTGACAGAGATGTCAAAGTACACTTAATTCTTTACTGCATAAAGGGTAGGGTTAAACACGCTCATCCAGAAGACCTTCCTTTTGAGTCACGAGGTTCAGAGTGCAGCCCTTTGCTTAATACCTTGAACAATGGAGGTAAAGAGCCTGGGTGCAGCTGAATCTATTGCTAGACCCAAACTTGGTCAAAGGTTTATGTCTAAGAGCTTATATGTGCACTATCAATCTAAGATATAATCTTAACAAAGCTTATACAAACTATTAATCACTTACTGAGATTCCGTATCAGCAAGGAGACATTTGGCATCAGGGTGTAAGGGATCTTTACAGCAGGTGTAAACTCAAGAGCTGTCTGTACTCAAAGGGAGATCCTATCGTGCAGCTAGCTGCCATGCAGGAGAGTTCAAGGCTTGCTTGGCTGCTCGCTATTTATGAGATAAAATGATTGACTCATAGTTGTATTTTTTGCCACATGCTCAGTTGGCCCTCAGCTGGTGAACTAAGTATCTGCCATCAGTTCTTTCAGCACCCAGTTTGAGACAAATTTGTGTTTGTTATCTTTCTTAGCAAGATTCTGTGTAACTAGTATTGGGCTTGCTACCTGCCTGAAAAGGCCCTATGTGTAGCAGTCAGACCAAAGGAGGAAGTTGTGGGAGGGCACACTACAACAATACTCCATCCTTATCACCTTATCAGGGAAAAGTTCTTACTGACCTAACGTTCTCAGGGATGGTTCTTAATTAATAATTCCTTTGAGCAGAACAGGTCATTTGTGCTTGTTTTTTGAGTTGCAAATTGTTGGATTAATAAATATATATTTTCTTTTAAGGTTATAGTTATAACAACTATTGTGAAAATAGCGTGGAAGTAGTGGGAGTACACCAAAGAAGAAAGGCTGAATTACAGTAAAACAACATACAATGAGAATAAACATGCATAGTGATTGTGTGGGAGTAGACTGTAGACTATACTTATCTCTGTGATGACAACTTTGGTATAAAACTTCTGTACTGAGAATACAGGTATTTGATATTACCTTCTTAGCTACCATATGACAAGTGTGACAGCATGTAGCATTTTGTGAATATTGTGATGAAAACACAGCTGATGTCTAAAGGAAACAAGTCAACCAGCCTACTGAAAGAAGATGTCTATTGTGCTTCGCTTGGTATGAAGAAGAGTCGGAATATACTAGCTGTAAATGGAGTTAACCTTTACCATTAATCATAGGAATTAGAAACTGAAAAATTAGAAAAAGCGGAGCTAACCATTCGTGTAGGTAAATGTCATCAGTATACTTAGAGATAAATAATTTTGCAGTTTTGGTCTATAAAAGAAATCCTGTACTATGGAGAAAGTATTCTAGTTTTGTGGATGAACCACCCTAGGATCCACACCTATACAGAAATGAAATAAATATCTTGCCTCTGTGTGTATATTGGTTCTTTGCACATTGGGTTAAAATACTTAAATTTTGGGACAGCACAGCTACTTCAAAATATGACATATAAGCATCACAGATACTTTGGTAATCATATGGAGAATATGAATTTGTGCTCAGTGAGTTGCTGGATGGGAACTCAAGGTTTAATTTAAAATGCTAATGTGAGAATTTTTCTGTATGTATTATTCTTCTAAGCCACGTATATTCCATATTCCATGCATTGATCAGTGGATTTGTTTCTGCTTAAGATTTCAGTGGCTAGGGTGACCACACTGTGACTTATGTGAGTGCACATAATTTAGTTACTCATGTTATGGATAGGCTTTTGCTATGCAAATGCCTTTTGCAGAAAAGTTAGTGGTGCCCATACTGAGACTTGCCCTGGGACATCTGAGTAGTGGAAAACCCAGTGGAAATACACCTGTGTGTTTACATAGAGCAGATGTTTGTCTCTTTAATTAAAAAAATGTTGTTTTTTGGTTTTGAGTTTTTTTTTGTTTTTGTTTTTGTTTTGTTTTTTTTCTTGTTCTGTGTTTATATTTTACAATATAAGCTGCACAAAGCTTATCTGACAATATTTGGTTATTCATTTTACTGAACATGGAAATTTTTATAAAAAACTGGCACTTGAAAATTTTTGCCTTCATTTCAGGGGAAGCAGATTCTGTTTCGTGAAATGATTTTTATCACCTGACTTCTGTTTCCTCTTTCTGATTTTGCAGATAGACTCTTTTATCTAATTTTAATAGACTTTTATCTAATTACTTGTCACTTTGAGCAATAAAATTTTTTCTTTTTCTTCTTTCTTCTATAAAAAATAAAGTAGATGCACTTTAAAGGAGTAGTTTTATTGTACTATGTGAAGAATTAATATTCACTCAGTATCCCTGCAATTAGCATGAAGAGCATAGCAACACAAAAAAGACTAATTACTGTCAGTTACATTTCTTAGGTTTCAGTCTATCATGTAGTTGAATCCTTGATATTTTCAGAAGAATGCATGCAGCATCCTACAAAACCAAAACTAGATCTTGTTTGACATGTAGAATGCAAAGATGAAAAAAAAAGAGGCTACATGGAAAAAGTTGATCATTCAACCTAGAAGTCATCTACATTTACCCTCAGTATAGATGTAAAAAGGAGCTTACATTCTTCTTTTCATCAAAACGTATTAGTCTTATTCTAAAGACAATGTTAAGAATTTTTAAAATGCAAAATACATTAATAAAATGGTTGTTTCTGCTACTTAGGCTTTTTAAGAAACTATGTTTTCACCCAGAAATAAAGGTAATTTTAGTTTCTAATGTGTTTATGTCACCAGTACAAACTGGAACGCTGCAAACTGCATTTAAGAGTGCTCAGTTAGCTTTCTAGACTGAGGAACTGAAGAATTGAAGCATCTTTACGAAATGTTTAAAATTTATGTGTTTAACATACTCTTCTCCATCTGTCATTTGAAAATAGCTTGAAAGTTGCCTGGTAATTACAGGATAAATTTACAATTACCAATCAGCATTTTTGTGTGTGTGAATAAAATATTCATCGCAAAAAACACTAGCTTGTTTCAAACCTCCCACACTAGAATGGGATAGTCTCACAGATCTTGCCATGGAAATTTGTGTGCATTTCAGATATGTAATAAAATCTCACAACCTTGAACAGCATCCACAGTACTGCTGCAGACCTGCTGAGTAATGCACAGTGGTTCATGGGAACACTTTTTGTTAAATGGAGAAATAAATCATAGAATCATAGAATGGCCTGGGTTGAAAAGGACCACAATGATCACCTAGTTTCAACCCCCTGCTATGTGCAGGGTTGCCAACCAGCAGACCAGGCTGCCCAGAGCCACATCCAGCCTGGCCTTGAATGCCTCCAGGGATGGGGCATCCACAACCTCCTTGGGCAACCTGTTCCAGTGTGTCACCACTCCCTGAGTGAAAAACTTCCTCCTAATATCTAACCTAAACCTCCCCTGTCTCTGTTTAAAAACCATTCCCCCTTGTTCTATCACTATCCACCCTCATAAACAGTTGTACCCCGTCCTGTTCATACATTCCCTTCAAGTACTGGAAGGCCACAATGTGGTCTCCCCAGAGCCTTCTCTTCTCCAAGCTAAACAAGCCCAGTTTCCTCAACCTTTCTTCATAGGAGAGGTGCTCCAGTCCCTTGTTCATCTTAGGATGCAGTGAGGAACCATGTCAAAGTCCAGGTAGATGACATCCATCGCCCTTCCCCCACCCACCAATGCCATCACTCCATCATATAAAGCCACCAGATTGGTCAGGCAAGATCTGCCCTTGGTGAAGCCATTCTGGCTGTCTAGGATCATCTCTTTGTCTCATATGTGCCATAACATGGTAACCAGGAGGATCTGCTCCATGGTCTTCCCAGGCACAGAGGTGAGGCTCAACAGCCTCAAATGTGACAAATGCTTCACTGTTCTCAGAGCTCCCTATTGTGTTACATCTTTAAAAACAATGTTCTGGCTTACATTAATCCTTGTATTTTGTTTCTATTTTCAAATCTTTGATTAAGGGAAGCAATGGGAATTCAGTATTCTGAGCAACTTATGATCTTTAAGAAAATAAATACTTCAGTTTTATTTGAGAGCAAGCCTGTGCCAATTCACTGTTTATGAATCTATCCATAGACAGACATTTTCCTGCTATTTAATAATATTTAAAATTAATTTCATCTCATTAAAGTGGCTTAATTCCCAGTGTGAGCATTCTCACATTACTTTGCCTTTTCCCCAGATTAGCTTATACAGGTTTGGAAGCAACTGAATCAAAATCAAACTGGGTTTTCTG